AACCTACAATAAATTAGTGGGTAGCCGAGATACAATCTGGGCCCCCACTCCTCTAGCTATAGCAAAGCCTACTCTAGTGAAGATATGAGCTGCAGCACGAGTCCCAATGTCTTGCGTCGTCGAGAACATCTGAACCCGTTTCAGCAACATAATATCCTTCTCAAATTCCCCAAGCGAAGAAAAGGAGAAGGGAAGGAAACCATATCCAATGAGTTGACAACTAGCTTCATACTTTACCCGCTTTCGATGAGCCGCATCATCTACCGCCCGTCCAGGAACAAAGTCAGATAGCCCACTCGGCATCAAAGGAGAAGACCCTTGTAACCTCCACACAAACATCACGACCACGATCCCAAGAATAAAGTAACACATCAGCAGGTCTGAGGGGCCCATCATTCCCTCCAGTCAACCCTATGTCCACCTCCTTTCGAGATGAAATCCCAGGTCTGTAGCAGATATCAACAAGGGTATCCCGAACAACATTATGCCGATGTTTAATACCCACAATACCAGCACATGACACCGCGTGATCACCATAAATATCTCCAGTGAAAACCCGAGAACAAGCCAAACATGGTGTCAAGATAGAGAACAACGGAACACACATCTTGTAGCACAACACACATCGGTAGGTCTTAGCATTCATCGTCTGACCTAACCCAGAAACAGGGACTGCCCGAAGCCAAGCAGAGGTGTGATCTCCCTGCTGCGATTTCCACAATGCTGATTGCCGAGGAGACAAAGAATAGGCGGATTCTGCAGTAGCCGTAATCTTTGTGAAATATATATCTGCCAATTTCTTCATGAGTTTAGGGGCAGCGATCTCACTAGGATTACACATAATGTCAGACTCCGCTATTCCATTAAACAGACTCAAAGCATCAACAAAGGCTCGTCCAAGACCAACAACACCAGCATGCCGAAGAAGCTGAGTTTGCAACCCAACAGACTGTAACCGAGAAGCAAGAAAGGCATAATGACGAACATCACCAGCGGAGTAAACCCCAAGCCCTCCAAACGCAAATGGTAAGGTAGCAAGCCGCCATTGCCAATCGCCAAACCCAGGCCCCGAAGCAGTAACAATACGCTCCAAGGAAGATCGAAGAGCCCCGTCGAAAGTACGCTGAGCCGCCTCAAAAGTACTAGGGGGACAAGTACGCAAAGCAAAGTAGAGTTTAGAAACTCCAGTACAAGCCCTAAGTAACAATAGCTCACACTAAGGATCATCAAGGTTGGCAACCTTATCCATTAGCGCAATAGTCTTGATCACCCTCTGCATCACAAGCTCACCACTAAAATCGGAATCAGAACTAGCGGGACCACCAAGCAACTTAACACCGCGCAAAGGTCGAGCAATATCAGGCGGAAAGATACCCATAAGCCTGCTTCTAGGGTCTTCCGAAGGCCAGAAAACTTCGGTTTTTTTCACGTTAAGATGTAACCCAAAACCAGGCCCTTCCTCCATAATCAACTGCAGAACCTTCCCCACCACCAACGTGTCACCAATAACAGTGCCGTCATCCAAATACCAAGCCTAAAGACATATATCAAAATTGTCCCTGGTTTTAAACACTAAGGGTTGTAAAACCAAAGCAAAAAGAAGAGGACCAAGAGGATCACCCTGCTGCACCCCCTGAGACGACCATAAGGTGTGGTCCCCATAATACAATCTTGCTGGAGTAGAATAGCAGAATTCAACCCAACGCGAAAGGCCTGGACAACGACGACGAACTTCCCGTAACATGACCCCACGATCAACTAGATTGAAGGCGTTTTGAAAATCCACCAATAACATAGAAAGACCAACATCAGAACCACGATCCTCAATAAACCGATTTACATTATTATTATTATTATTATTATTATTATTATTATTATTATTATTTAGAAGCCCGTTTTCATCTTGACAATAAGTTTTATCCTCACCAAATTCCATTTCCATTTTGCCCTAATCTTTTGAATTTAGCTTGTACTCCGTAATAAGCTTTAGTAGAGATTTATAATATGAAGTACTTCGTATTCATTTCTCCTTGGTCTTAGCCCATCCACTTGCCTGCATTTTCGGTTCCATGTTTGCCCTTTGCATATTAACCCAAACAATTTTTTCGATGATTAGAAAAGCTTTGTATTGCAATTTCTCCTTGTCTTTGCGAATTGCGAAACAGATTTTTTTCCCTCTATGTCCTCGCATTGTTTTCTTCAAAATTTATGTGATTTTCAAAACACGTAATTTTTTTTTACAATCTATGAAATTTGCTTACTTTTGTTTTCTTTTTACGCAATGGCGGATCTTGGCCAAAAATATTAAAGGAGTCGGAATTTAAATCTTTTACATCCCGCTCAAAACTAATTACTATGTCCAGATATGTTATGAGTAAAATAGGTTTATGAGTTAAATAGTCCCGATGGAAGGTCCCCTTCTATTTCTGCGTAATATATTTTTGAATACATTTTTATCATAACTTGGATTAATATTATACTTTCCAATTAGTAATGTCAGGATGATGTACAAGTACTTAACAAAATAATGACGAAGAATAAGTCTTATCTTTTTTAGCAGTGTTTTACAAAAGTTATAAATTATGAGTACTCGGTATGAACTTGTGCAACAACCAATGAGTACTACAACAACAATCGAAAGCAATTTTATGCAAGTACTACTATCAATTTTAATGAAATAATAAAATGTCTTACTCAAGTTGTTTCTTTCTTACTCGTTTTGATTCTTTCAATAATTTACAAGTGTCATATTTGACGAATAACACTGACGCAGTCCCTAAGAGTCTCCTTCCATACAGCAGATATTTTGGACACCCAAATAATACGGCTAATTAATCTTAAGAAAACGTCAAGAGTAGAATATTCTTAGCTTAAGTGTATCATCATCATAAATATTATGGCCCTTTTATTAGCCTAAAAGAAAGGCCGTCAGCTTTAGTGGCACTACTATATTATACGTGGTATTAGCTAAATATCGGCAGGAATAGGGTTGAGCGTCATATCCAACTCAATTATTTTGATTTGAATCACGATTATTAGTGTTTGTATAGAGTTATGAATATGATTGTTACATTTTAGGAATTGCTTTATTTTTTTTTTATTTTTTTTATATGTATATTTTGGTAGGGTTTTGAAAGGGAGAGGCAATTGAGAAAAGGTCTTACTTCACTTTAAAGAATTCAACAAATCTTACGATAAAATGAAATATCCTTATATTATGAGTTTCAATAAATGGCTAACCTTAATTGGTGAGGTAATCTAAGTTTTTATTTGTCTTTTCTTTTATTTTATTTTTTGTTAAAGGGATCAGTTAAATTAAATTAAAGCCTGATTATTTGTCTTTAAACTTTTAAATAAGTGTTGTTTGGTTAATGCAAATCAAGAACTAGATATGCAACATGTTTGGTTCACTCCAAGTGTTACCAAACCCTTGTGAAAGAGGGGATAAGAGTTTATTAGAAGTTTAGACTTTGATGCTTTTCTTAATGAAGAGGTACGGTTGGCTTGTTTGTGATGAGTATTTCACGATCACCCCATTGATGTAGGGAGGGAGGGTTATTAGGGAGTGCATGGAGAAAATAATAAAGGCTTGTGATACCATGAAAAATTATTATTATTATTATTATTATTATTAGGTAGTAGTGCAGGGAGAAAACAATTAAGGCTTGTGATACCATGAAAATTTATTATTATTATTAGGTAGCAAGTGTATAGAGAAAACAATTAAGGCTTGTGATACCATGAAAAAAAAACTATTATTATTATTATTATTATTATTATTATTATTTTGACAGTATGTGTATTTATATTACCGAGTATAACTTCTTTTTTTTTTTGACGGAAAAAATAAAAGTTGTACTCCGTAATATAAACAACTTAGAGATACAAATGGACTACAAAAGTCAATGAGAACTTTATAATACGCAGATTAATTTGCATTTAAAGATTACTTACTCATTTCAATTAACTAACTTTTGTTTTCCATGGTCGGGGCTTGTAGATATATAATATAGACTATTTTAAATTTAAAATAAAAATAAAAAATCAGAACAAGTCAAAAATGAGTCTAAGTATCCAAATAACACCCCCCCCCCCCCGGCATAAATAAGGTGGGCATCAACAGTTTTGTTCGCCCTCTTTCTGACAGCTACTCTTTAAAATCAAGGGACCAACGACTAATACTACTTCTTCTTAGACCAACTTGATGTATGTAGTCGGCAAAATTGTACAGTAATTCGTATTTTCTAAACTTATACTCCGTATATATAATTTTTGTAGTATATGTTGTATTTTCAACTAAATTTCACTTATTTAAATTAATTGTCCTGTTCTTAATTAATTTGAACTTATAATTATTTTTCCGGTTTATAAGTTATTAAAACCTATTGTAATTGCAAATTGACCCTAGATAGTTTTTATTGTTCTAAACTTAATTTATTAGAACATATTAGCCCTTAACTTATCTGAACTTATAAACAAGACTTTATTTTTCTGAACTTATTTTTCTCGAAATTGAGATGAAAAGTACAAAACCCTGTATTTTGGCCTTATTTTAACCTACTTATTAAATTGTGAAATTTATATATAAATGAACTAATCTAAATATATCGGTCTTTTTCTCAACTTATCTAATCTTATTATTCTGTTGCTCACCTAAGCAATGTACTTATTTCATACACTTGTATGTATCTGCTCTACTACATACGTCGCTTTCTAAACTAATGACATTCGACTATTCGGCCATCAAACCATGCATCACCAAGGTCAAAAAGAGGCTTTTTAACATAATGTTAATATTAATGGCATCGAAGAAATTGATATACAAAGAACAGGTAAATAATCACGTACAAATCGGTGTAGACCGCTCATTGAAGTTAAACAACATGTTCACAATGTGGTTCATAATTAATCTTGCTTCCCTAATTAACGCTAAATAACAGAAAAAAAGGATTTTATTCTTTTATTCACTTATTAAAAGAACTAGGACAGAATTTGGAAAAATGCAACCATCATACATGTATGTACGTAAAACTAACTTGAGAAAATACATCATTGCCAATAATTTGCTATTAGACTACTTCAAATTCGACGTAATTCATTCGAAATAAAGACCTATTCAACTCTCACCTGCTGTAAACTGATGACATTTTGTCACAAGTCATGCATAAATCAAAGTACAATGTGTGTAATTGTGTATAAGCTAGCTAAAAGTCGCAGCTAGTTAAGTTAGAAAGTATGAACTTTTGTTACTAGATATTTTCTTTGTGTAAAAGAGCATGATGAGTAACCCTTTGAACTACTCTTCATTAATTACACGGCTGCTAGTTTTTTCTAATACGATTTTCTTGTTGTTTTTACCTAGTCATTCCCTAACCACGTTCTTGTTTGGTGACTCCTTAGTCGATGCTGGAAACAACGACTATCTCTTCACTCTTTCGAAGGCTGACACTCCGCCATATGGTATAGACTTCTCGCCTTCTGGCGGCCAGCCTACCGGGAGATTCACAAATGGCCGGACTGTTTCTGACATTATAGGTAACTTCTTTGATAATAGAATTAGGATTCAATATGGGAAAAAGGCATGTTCTATTTTATCAACATTGTAATTATGGTTTGATTTCAACTAGTTTTAGACTTTAGTTCAGTTTTGCCAATAAACCGTAGTTGACTTTTTGCGTACATGAACTAATAACTTGTTCATCTCAATTCAAAGCTTCCTACTAGCTTATTAGTGAACCTAATTAATGGATGGGTCCAATGCATGGACTTGAACCTTCATGATCAAAATATTTTCTCTCACTTTTTGTACATGTATATAATATAAATGTATTTAAGTCGAAAATTGGTAGGTCATTTTGCTAAAATCAACTAATATAATTAATAAAGATAAAATAGAAGCATTACGTATCCTAAAGACTTACACTTACCACACCACCCTCCTTTAGATATTAAGAGTAACACCCTAGAGGTGTACGCTATTAACAATAACTCAATATACTTAGACTATAAAAGAAAATCTTAGTATGAGCTAATTATATAAGCAATACAAAACAAAATCCCTAACTAATCTCTTTCTTCTATAAGATAAACAGTAATAATTGTATTAAATAAATCAACTCTCATGCTTAAAAGAAATATAAATACACAGCAAAAGTTCAATTGTGCATGGCTTGGCCTTATAAAAAAATTACTGTTCTTCTAAAAGTTAAAATGGTTGCAGGACAGTCTTTAGGAGACAAATTTCTTCCACCACCATATTTAGCTCCAAACACACAAATTAATGCAACTGATGCTGGAATAAATTATGCCTCGGGATCAGCTGGAATATTGGTTCAAACTGGATCCTTGTTTGTACGTTTACTTCCTTCGTCTCAAAATAAATTCAATTCTACGTAATTAATTAGAAGTAAGCATCTATGACATTTTTGGTTTGGTGCAGGTAGGAAGAATTCCACTACAGGAGCAAGTGCAAAATTTTGAGCAAACTAGAGCTCAAATAGTTGCTAAAATGGGAGAAAAAGCTACAAAAAATTTCCTAAGGAATGCAATTTTTTCAATAACAGTAGGGTCTAATGATATCCTCAACTTTATTCAACCATCTATACCATTTATTGGGCAAGATAAGGTTCAACCTGCCATTTTTCAAGACCAAATGCTCTCCAACTTGACTATGCAACTCAAGGTAAATAATATTAAGCCACCTCTTCTCAATATATTAGAGCATCTCCAATGGTAAGCTAATTGTTAAATTAGCTTAGCATGTCACATATAATTTCAAGTTAATTATGTTTGTACCTATATTTGTGCCCCAATAGTTGGCTACTAGCTTACTAATTAATAAGTTTGACTTTCTCAATTAGCTTTATAAATTTAATTATTTTAATATATTAATCTCAAAACATTTTGGAAACTTTTTCTCAAGCAAATTGTATTTTTTAGCTCCAATGGTCAAGCTAGTAGCTAGAGACTTTTGAAAATTGCAAGCAAGTCCCTAGTTACAACCATTGGAGTTGCTCTTAAAAAGAAGAAAAAGGGAGTGAATGTGTACTTGAAAAGAAAAAGGAAACAACTCCCTTCGTCTCAAAATAATAGATCAACTAGCATAGTTGTGTATTAATACATATTACTCGCAGTTAATTTCACATCTCAAAATCCCATCAATTTCACACTCATACTCATGTAGTACATCTTTGGAATATTCAATTTCAGAAGCTATCATTAAGGTATATATGTCAACTTTAAATAATAAAACTTACTATACATAAAAAAGTGACTTATGGTATATGGAGCACTACATCCTATGTTGGGAGAACCTGAGACATAAATGCGATACATTATTTAGGGACAATGGACATGCTAATTTTTTTTCACATATGAAGCGATTACACAAATTGGGGGCAAGCAAGTTTATTGTAGTAGGGATCGGACCTTTGGGATGCATACCATTTGTTCGGGCTATGAAGCTAGATTGGTTCGAGAAGTGCTCGAATGAGGTGAACGAATTAATTCAAGGCTACAACAAAAAATTAATCAGAGAGTTAAGTTTGCTAAATGAAGAATTGGGACAAGAAGCAGTGTTTGTCTATGCAAACTCCTATGACATCTTTATGGACATCATATCTAATTATCAACACTATGGTAAGCTAACTAGGTCAAAATTATTTCATAAAGTTTTAGAAGAAATTAAATTGAATGATTAATGTGGTTACATACAGGGTTCGAAAATGCGAAGGACCCGTGTTGTGGTGGATATTTTCCCCCATTTTTGTGCTTCAAAGGGAAAAACATAAACACAAGCTCCGAATTGTGTGAAGATAGGTCTAAATATGTGTTTTGGGATGCATATCATCCTACTGAAGCAGCCAACTTAATCATGGCCAAGAAATTGCTTGATGGTGATAAAAGAGTCACTTCTCCAGTCAATCTTCGACAGCTTTATAAAAATCAAAATTAATTAGGTTATCTATACATAAGTGTGACTAGGCTCAAAAGGTTATAATTTTAATCTTGTCAAAATCTAAATGATTGTATGATGTTACCCTATCATAGTATCATCAATAATTACTCAACTATCTATTTATTTCAATTTCTAATGAATAATTGTCTACACCGTATATTGAGTAAAATCTATTTATTATCGACCTTTAGGTATAACTACTGTGTTTTGACCAAAGTCGGTAACAATAAATGATTTAGATGGATATGACCTTCACAAGTCCTTTTTTTTTTCTAATATTAGCTGAGTCATGACCCTTACAAATAAAATGAACGTTACCACATACGTAGTACGTTGTTGTAGTATATGCTAATGATCTACTATTAACTTTTATACATCTATACAAATCTAGTAGTAATAAGGCTTTACAAGAGTTATTTAACTAAATTGATTATTCCAAAGATAGAAATATGTTTTATAACATCAAGAGTAGTAGCTAAGATTTTGTCATGTTTGACGGATGGATACAACAGCCCTTCAACCGCGTAAATATAAATATTTAACGGTAAAGGTTTGACCAAATTGCATCATTAACTTGGATTTGCCAAATGGCAATATTTGTTTGACAACCGCCAACTACACCAATATTAGTAAACGCTAGGCGTTGACTAATGAAGTTATTGACTTAATTTCCACAAAAATTCAAAGCCACCTCCAAATTTCTCAGAAATCAGACCAATCCTTTATTCATTAAATTATGTGTTTTGGGTTCCCAAAGTTGTAAGTTTAATAAGAGAATATATTATACAAGTATTTTATAAGAGAAAGTCAATACTTTATCTGCGCTTACTTGGCCTGGTATGAGTAATTATGGTTCTTGTTAGCGACTTAGCGGCTGCATTTCATTGCGCGCTTAAGATTCTCTCACTCTCTCAAAGTCAGCAGATTTAATACTTTATATTATACATCACCGCTACTAATAATCATACTCGGCTGTTAGTGATAGATCGTGTATGAAGCACAAAAACGGCTTGAGTTTCGAAACTAGATCGAATAAACCTCACATTCTATTTATTTTTGGGATTTTCTAACATGGAAATATTGGGGTCTTGAACATGTTTGGGGTTTTAAAATCGGGAAGATCTCAAATATTTGTACTTTTTTACGGATACGTGTTCAAATGTTGAAATGTCACAAGAAAATGCACATAATTTAATGAGTTAATCCACAATTGACAAGCGAATTAGATAATAAACGATGTACTACGTATATGCTTAAGAACTACTTCATACTCCTTATTAGCCTTAATTTTAGAGATGAACTTGACTAAAGTAGAAACTTAACTAAGGTAAGCTAAACTAAACTAGACAAAACTCAATATAAGTCTAAAAGAACATGGCCTTTGGCTAAAAGTGGATAACATCTTTCTCCTAGACGGGTGTGGCTCACACCCATTTAACAAGTAATGAAGTAATCATAGATTCATAAAATTTGTGTATCCCATTTGTTTTTTTTTTTTTTTACTTTTTTATTCAGTATTTCATAATAATTGCAACACTAACTTCGATTGTTGAACCATCCATATACTAGCATTGATTACTTTTTTATACTTAAAAATAAATACAATGTAGGATAGCAAAGTTTTAAATAATCAACATTGTGCGCGTTAACAATTTGAAAAGTCAACCCCTTGCAACTTCTATGCAACAACTCAAAATAATTAACTCGACTCTGATAACATGAAGAATCTGAGTAAGTAACATTCTATACGATACTTGGTATTTATTACGAGTATTCGAAATTTGAATAAAACAAAGGGGGGACATGATGGGGAGAGGGGTCCAATTAACAGAGCAAAGAGTGATGAGTTGAGGGTATGGGCTACTATACTCAGGTCCTGGCTGTCAAGGGGAGTAATATAAGTTGGTTTAGACGACAGAGCACAAATGCAAGGCACGCAGCTCATAAGTGGTAAGAATAGACCAGGGGGTGCTGATATGATACACTTTGATTTCATCAATACTCCCTACTACTTCCTCCGTTTCACAATGATGTTCGTGTTTAGAATCTTTGATTTTTAAAAATAAGAGAAAATCTTCTAAATTTCTCTCGATTTATAAGAACAAATATAGTCATATGCGATCTAGTTTGATTCGTATTGGTGAATACATTATTAATATCTAACTTTTATAATTTTTACTAATATGAGATTAAGGATAATTACAGTTAAAGACAGATAAAAACTTGCATCAATTTACGTAAACAGAAACATTATTTTGAAACAAAAAGAGTAACATGTGCTTCTCTAATTCTCATGACATAAAAACCATGCATTATCTTTTATTATTATTGTTACTTCTTATAATTGATTGACTTTACGACTTGCGGCCTCTTTTTCTGGCATACTTCTCAAACTAATATACACTGTAAATTTCACATTACATGTATTGCACTGGCATACCACAATTACTACGTACAATACTGCATTAACTACTACTATTTCTGTGGTGGGATGTTTTTTGGAGGAAAAAGTTGGCAGTTCGTTTATCTACCCTCAACCACAGGGCTTTTCTGTTACTTGCTATAGCCCTATAGCTTCCCACCATGCTAATAAAAACACAGTTTTCTTAACACAGAGTACTTCCTTTGTTCCTAAATTAATTGAAGTCTTTTCTTTTTGAGGGTTAATTTTGTAAATTTTTAGAGCACATATACAAAGGAAAATATAGTCATGTGACAATTGGAAAAAAATATTGTTAGAGGCTATAAATAAATCTAAACAATTTTTAGTAACTTTAGACCTACATTACCATTACCATGACTAAATTATACTCTGTAGTCTTGTTCTGCTCTATCACCACTTTATTCACTTTTTAAAGAAAAAATTGGATAAAATAAGTACGAACAAAATAAGTTTTGGCTAAATTAATAAGGATTACCCAAGTTTAACTTACAACACGTTTATATATACATAAAAATCAAGTGAATATATAAAACACATCCTACATCGAAACTCTATCTTGCCAAACATAAATAGGGGATAAGTAGTGATTCTATTGTAATAGTAAAAGTTAACATATAAAATAAATTAAAAACAACTTACATTATAAATCTAAAATATATATATATTTATATAAGTCACTTCATTAGATTTAAAATATTACTAAAAAAAGAATTAGTTACGTGTCATAATTATACCAAGGTATGCAATAGTCTCCTTAAAATTGAGAAGATCTTCTTCAGAAAATGTTAGCTAAATCGCAAAGGTTGTTTGGTGATGTTTCTCTAAGGATAACATAGCCTAAGCTTGTCGTGCATGCGAGACAATCATCCTCTTGGAGATATGCATGCACGCAAAGGTAGTTACTCTCTCATGGAGTATGTAATGTATTTATGTTCCAAGACACGTCTTTTGTCACACATTTTTTGCAAACCTTATTAGGGATGTCCTCCCATGCATATTGGTGGGGCTCTAATGAGGGATATTGAACCCACACACCACATATTAGGTCAAGAACCCCATAAAGATTGCTTTCGTTATCAAATCTCTAGATCTTCTAGTTCATCATCATCTACATTCAAGATAGATATATCATTCTTTTTAGCAATAAATGTCTACTCGTATTCATATTCATATATCCGATATTGTTCAAGGGATGGTTAAAGTACGAAGTATTAGACCATCAATTGTGTTAGAACGTGGGTCAAGGCCCACAACAGGTGATCACACACATATTAAAAAAATTTCCATAAAGACTATATGGTTATAGGTGGTGTAGCCCACATGCCTTATATTCAAGTCACATTCTTACCAATCTTTCAACGTGAGATAATATTCCTTCAAATAAACATACAAGAAATTCCCAACACCAGGAAAAAAAAACTAATTTCCAATCTTTTAACTTATTAGGCATGTTACTATACTTGGCAATTATTCCTCTTAGTTACTTTTTCCAATCATTTAATCTTCACACACAAAAAAAAATTTAAAATACTCCATTCCCAAATAAATGTCTTACTTCGTATTTTAATACTTCATTCCTAAATAAATGTCTTATTTCACCTTAGTCTAACAATTTATTAATTTTGTATCAACTAGACTTCACTATTTTCCTTATTTCACTTTTAATCAATCGATCAAACCACTATCTTGTTTTTTATATTCACCTTTAACCAATCAAACCTCACTCTTGATTTTTATATCATAATTATACACTATAAAATAATGAAAATTGAAAATAAACTTTGGTATGGGATAGTCTCTTCAAATTAATAGGGATTATCTAAAGGTTGTTTGTATGTATACTATATACAATCAACTTCTTAAAGACATGCATGCATGCACGCAAAGGTATTACTCAGCTCTCTCATATTTTGTATTTATGATCAAAGACTGCTGTTTGGTCTCACATATTTAGCACAACTCTAAGTAATGTCCTCCATTGCGGCCATGCATATTGGTGGGGCTTTCATTAGATTCAACCCACAATTAGGTCAAGTATGTATTCCATAAAGATTAATTTTATCATAAAATATATCTTGATCCCTTAGTTCATCGATCTCTATCTACATTATTGTAAAACCTATTCTAGCAATAAATGTATATTCATATTCATATTCATATATATGATATCATTCGATGAATGATTCAATTATCAACCTACCTGCGACATTTTGATTTAAAGATAAGTGATAGCGACAAATATAGCTAAATGTTAACTTGAAAAGGTGAATTACTATGACTAGTGAATTTTTTCTCTTTTTCAATCATCTTATTATGCCTATCAACATAAACTACCTAGTAGGTCAAAAAAGAAAAATGAAAACTACCTAAATCAAAGTAAACCTATAGAAGGATTTTCAAAAGCGGAGAAATCAAATGATTATGTAGTTAAGAATTCCATATTATGTTCTTGTCAGAAAATATAAGTTCAATTATATAGCAAAAACTGGTTGATTAAAAATTGCTAAGTACAATACATGAGATAATCATGTTTCTTTTAAGTTAATTTATCACCTCCACTTAATAGGACTAAATACATG